GAGAGGCCGCGGATAATGGCCGTCCCGGCTGCCCGCGCGGGGCTGCGGTGCTGTGGAGCTGCAGGCGTGGGCCTGGGCCAGGGCAGCTTCTTCTGCCACCCACGGGAGCCTGCCAGGCACGGGGAGCGGGCAGTGAGCTGCCACATGTCCCCGGATCGCTTCCGCCTCTGGGGGCGGATTCCGGGGCAGGTCCCCGCGGGAGCGGGGCCGGGATCGGGCGGGCTGTCCGGCAGCGCCGCTGGCACGCCCCGGCGGGGAGGAGCGGGACGGCAGGTCCCTCGCCCCGCCTGCCTGCCTCCTCCCCTGCGTTCCCTCCCCGGCTGTGGGAGGGATCTCTGCCAAAGACTCTGTGGTATGAGTCCCGTCCTGGCCCCGGGGACCTGCTCTTCGGTGTCCACCCGAGCTCCCCGGGGCCGGGCGGTGGCTGTGGGCTAGGGGACGTGCGGGGCAGGGCGGGCAAGAGGTGTTGACGAACCACCGAGCAGAATCGCAGTCGGGATTCACTGTCAGGACAGGGACGGGCCTGTGTGCGATCGACCTCAGAGACATCGGGCAGCGCAGGGGCTCCTGCCCGCCAGCAGCGACCCTGAGCAGGGCCGTGCTGGGCCGTGCAGCTCAGCCAAGGGACGGGAGCGAGGCCCAGCCCCAGCCGAGGCGGGGAGAAATCAAACCAGCGCCAGCCCGGCATTGCTTCCTGTCTTCTTGCTGCCTCTTCCTCAATGTTGGTCGCCCCAAGGCCTGGGCAAGGCGGATTATGGCTCCACCAGGCTCTGCCCAGCCCTGGCACCTGCACAGCCAGAGGAATTGGGAAGGATAGGATGGTCAGGGGTGCGGGAGGGATGAGGGAGAGGTGCTTTTACAGACTTTTTGGGCAGGTCAGGAAACACCTGGCTCTTCCAGTAATGGATTGTGCAAGGGTTTAAAAAGAAGGCCATTCAGTCCATCTTACCCAGAGCTGGATCTTTTGCTCCAAAGGGAACTGCAAAGGGAGAGCTGCTTTCTCAGGCTCCCTGACTCCTCCTGGGAGATGCAGGTAGAGGTGCCTCTCGCTCAGAGCTCCCCATGTCTGACTTAGTGGTGTGAAACAAGTGGAAACATCTGAGGGAATCCTCAGCATTGTCCTATTTTGAAATACTTAGTGGTCAGAGGTATTGGGCAGAGTCTCAGCAGTCTTTCGTTCCCCATGGAGATTGCCCCATCGCTCCTAAAAAGCTGAGGTGCTTTGTCATCTAGCATTTGGGTATGTTGTTTTGTGTCCAGTCCTTAGTGTGTGGCAATTTCTCCTGTTGTTGAGAACAACACTCCCTGGCTTGCAATGCTGGATTTGATCACCAGCTTGACCATATGCTGGAGCAGATGCTAAGGGAAAGGGCCCTGAAGGCTTAACCAACACTTCTTCTCCTCCACACTTGGTGCATCAAGAGCAGTGGAAGAGTGAAGGTAAGGGGGCTACATGTCAGTCTTCTCTGGTCTCCTCTCCCCACCTGGGCAGCCCTTGCTCCCAAGCTCCTGCAAGTTTCACCCTGAGATGAGAGAGTGGTCAAGATGCAAAGATCCCTGCTTCTAACCAAAGCACAGCAAATGACTCAATGGCTTTCAAACCTCAGTCTCTTTATTACAATTCTCACCCTAATAACGAAGCTGAAAAAGTTCCACATCATGTGGGAGAAGATCACAATGGCTGTAAATTCAGCAGAATGACTTTTTGCATGACATCTTGGGGCCAGAAGTATCCACGAGCCAGAGCACTTCCTTCTGAAGGGACAATGGAAAGAAAGCACAGAGGGCAAACAAGCCTTCCTGAGGCTTAACCAGAGACACGCCGGCATCCTGGCTATAGCATCCATTCTTACACACTTCCAGCAGGACAGAGATCAGAGACATTTCCATTTGTGATGAGACATTCACCATAAGAGTGGTGAAATCTCTGCTCCAAAATTAGCATTTGAGAGGTGTTGCTTTAAAGTGTGAGCTGAGGATAGCGTATGCATGTAGAGACCACAGTGATATGCAAAGTACCGTCAAGTATTAGAAGAATCAAAACCGCCTGAGAAATGTAACAGCGCATTTTGCACATGATCTGTTTTATCAAGGGCTAATGCAAATCTAATTGCCATTCCTTTTCTTGACAATTGAGCAAAAAAGTTCAGGGAAAAACCAGAAAAGACAAACCCAGTTCTTTTCTGAGTTATGGATGTGCAAAGTCATGGAAGATACTGTAGTTGTACTGGTACAGCTGTGAACAGGGTTTGACCTGATAAGTATGAAAACGCCTGTCAGGTTAGATCATTTAAAGCTGTGCCTTTCTTGCACATTAGTTGTCATTTAAATATTTGTTGAAAAAAGCCTGGATCTGTGGCCAAGCATGAACCTGAGCTTTAGAATAAGCCCCAAGCTCCCCATCCCAAATTGCCCACTTGTGAGGAAAGAGACGCTTTCCTATGGGGTACAAAGGGAAAAAGGGAGGGTCAATGCAGTGCCCTGTTCCAGGGTAAGACAGAATCTGAAAATTTTCCTTCCCTTGAGCCTGCAAATACTTGCAAGCTTCAGTAGCGTGATACTCAGATTTAATAACGTGATCATCTTGTCCCACAATGAATAGTAACTGTGCCTCAGCTTTCTCTAGTGGGATCAGGCTTTGGTTGCCAGGGGCTTGAAAGGGGTCAGTAAAGGCTTTAGAACAATCAAGAATATTGGAATCAATGACCTTGACCTGTTGTTCATCGATGGGCAAAGGGGGGATGGTTTTATCCTTGTAACAGAGAGGAATAACTGTATTGGCCACAGGGCCATTGAGGGAAGCAATGGCTGTGATGTTCTTCAGGAAGGCGGCCATGGAGAGAGACAGATCAGCTCCTTTGGAGTAACCGAGCAGGCCAACCCCTGGTCCCTTCACCTGGTAGATAGGAGGAAATCCCCATCAGTACTGAGCTGAAAAACACAACAGCAAGTTCCTGGAGGGGAACATTGTATAATGCTGTGAGTTTGCAAAGCACTCTGAAAGAGGTGATGGCAATGATTAGTTTTTCTTCTGGACAAGTGCCAAGCAGCTCCTATGCACAAATTTCTTCCACTCCCGTGAAAAATGTTCCCTGGTGCTATGACGACAGCCAAGAGAGAGCAAGCACGTTTGAGCATAGGTTGCAGGAGTAAAGTAAGACTATTCAGAGCTAGTGTGGAAATGTTTTGGTAGTGGGGAGCTATAGGGATGGCCTCTGTGAGAAGAGACCAGGGGCTGCCCTCACGTTGGACAGAGACAGTTTCAGCCAGCTCCAAAATGGACCCGCTGCTGCCCAAAGATGTGGGGGGGAGGTGTTTTTAGCTTTGTTCTTATTTCTCACTATGCTACTCTGTTATTAACTGGCAATAAATGAAATTAATCTTCCCTAAGTCAAGTCTGTTTTGCCTGTGATGATAATTGGTGAGTTATCTCCCTGTCCTTATCTTGACCCACGAGATTTTTCATCTTAGTTTCTCCACCTGTCCTGTTGAGGAAGGGGAGTGAGAGAGTGGCTTGGTGAGTATTTGACAGCCAGCCAAGGTCAACCCATCACAGCTAGATACCGGCAAATGCTTTTTACATTGTATTTTTTAGACTAAGGGCTCATACGGGGGCATGTGGTGACAATTCATGAAGGTTGCTTTGAAAAATGCTTGTCTCTCTCCTGCACAACCTCCCCACCTTATTATGTCTCAGACACCATCTCTGTCACTCCAGATGACAGTACCTGAACGGTACCCATCCTCTGCCCTTCCAGTGCATATCTGTTTGACCCTTCCTCTTTCCTAGAGCCCAGGCACCCAAACTCCTGGCAGATGGATCTGGGTGAGCATTTCAGCAGCTTCCTCCGGAGATAACTCAGGCAAAGTGACAGGCACTTTGGAGAAGAAGCACTCCCAGGGGAACCCAGGGGGACATGGAGGGTGCTCCTACCTGTGGGTGCTGCAGCATATAGTTCACCGCCTCTTCAAAATATTCCAGGTGGAGTTCAGTTGGCTCCTGGGGCAGATTCTCATATTTGAAATAAGCCAGGGCCAGTGTGACAAAGCCATGATTGGCCAGCAGGCTGGCTCTGTGCTCAAAAAGACCTCCTGTGTATCCATGTATGTCGATGATTCCTGGAAAGGGGTCTTCTCCTGGAGTAGACAAGACAAAGAACAGTATTGCCTGAAATGACTCCTTTCAATGTTTCTGTGGTTTAGAATGCATCAAACCAGGTACACAACAGGAACTGCAGAAAAGCATCTTCTGGGGAAAGGACATGACCAGTCATTTAGCTGTGACCTGCTAAATGACTGTAAATTAACCGGCAAGACGCTGAGCGGCAGAAAGACAGATACCACCTACGTAAGATGCAAATCCATCTTAGTGCTAATTGCCAACTATTCAGCATTTCATTTAAGGTCCACTGGCAGAGATGATATGTGTGGTGACTTTCCTCAGTTTCCCCTTCCTGCTCTCAGACCAGCCCTTGACCACCACTTGGCTCATTTTAGTTCTTAGCAGATGTCTGAGGCAGCCCTTGTAATGTGCCTTGGAAGGGAGAAGAGGAGCCACAGGGAGAGGTAAGCTGAAACCTCTGAAAAGTTCAGCTCAGATGCTTGGGATTTGCTCTAAGTTTCTCTCTACTGTTATGCAAATTAAAGGAGCCTTGAAACGGTTTAGGGATAGACTCTGCATGCCCAGAACACCATTTCTACTGCTAAAACAAGAGAAAGGATGAACATCCATCACTTAGCAGACCTAACATAGCCAGAATATGAGTGTGAGTTGTGCTGCTCTCTGCAAATATAGGACCTCCAATCCTTCTTCTTCTTTGTAGAAAAACTTTGATAGGTGCATTGATAACCACATTGTTCATCCCTACAGAACACGTCCTCAGCAGAGTAAAAGAAGGAGTATCAGGCTTTGAGCTAGAACATAAGGTTAAACTAATGACCATTGCTCTAAAAGTAGCCCCTGCAGAAGCCGGACCATGATACAAATGTGTTATATACAAGAAATGCAAAAACAATCCAGTTACAGAGCAAAAGAAGCGTAAGGACGCTGTCCTCCACAAGTCGAAGAAGACAAAATTGACTGATATTAAAACAGCATGGTCTTCAAGAACTTCAGTAACAAACTGTAAGTATTTGTGTTTGGGTTTTAGAACCATGGAGAAGCAATTGGTATAATCCCAGCATCTGAATCTGAAAGTGTAGAGATGACAGTGCAGGCAGTACTACCAGAAATGGAACCTCATGCGTGGGACACCTCAGTGCAGGACAACTCCAGTGTGGTGAAGTTGTAGTGGAGAAACACAGCTCTGAGCAAAACTGTGTAAAAGAGATGATGACTATGGCTGGAGCTACGCCGAAGACTGGCTGTGGTGGTGGCTGGTGAGAACAAACTCCTGGGAAGTCAAAGTGCCAGGGGCTGTGGCAAGTGTCTAACATTTTAAAATGCACATTATCCAAAGGGAGCAGGTCTGGGGACACTGAGTGAATGAGCCATTGCTGGACTCACCGTGACTCCAGGCACAGGATGCAAAAAAGTTTGGAGACAAAATGTAAGTGACTTCCTTCATCTCCTGGTTAGTGGATAGAGGGTAGAAGTGAGGCAGGGGAGGTATCCCTGGCCTTGCTGCTGAGTGGGATGCTGAGCATGTGAAATCAGCTGTCCCAGTTGGTTCCCTGTTCTGGAACACCAATTCTGTCTTGAAAATTACTTTTTGCATTTGACCTGCCATAGCCCAGCAGTGGGCACAGGGTACCAGGACTGGGCACAGGGCACTGTGTGTGCTCCCCATACCCTGCAGCATGGTCCCCATGCCTGGTCCTGTTCCTGCTCACCCCTCCAGCCCAGGCCCCTCCAGTCAAGGTAGTGGGATGACTGGCAGCTGCCCTGGCACAGCAAGGCCCTGGCCAGTGCCAGAAAGACAGGATGGCCGCAGCCAGTACTCACCGGGGCAAGAAAAGCGTCGCCCGGATCCTC